ACATCGATACGATGTCCAGTATCGACCAAGTGTGACAGGATCGAGCTTTATACACACTTAATTCCCCCCACCCCACGCCTGTTGAACCAAGCTGGTAAATGTTCTTGACCCCGTTGACGAACCTGCCTAATCGTGCGCCTCATATAACTTGAATCACCACACGAACAGTTGAAATGGTTGGTGTATGCATGTGAAGAAGAGCTAAGGTTAGGTAAGATATCTTTGAGTGAACATTGGACGGCTACTGAAGGATAGACACAGACGTGCAGAGTGGAAAGTTTTCTTGATCGCCCTGGTTAAACATTGCGATAGAATCTCCGCAGGAGTATCTCCTCTGAATTGGAGACGTAAAATCAGAGGCTTTTTCTCCACCGTTGCCAGTTCATGTTTACGACTATTGTAACCTATCTTGGCTTTAATGAACTTCTCTGGACATCCGTTCTCGCTTAGAATGTCTCGGATGACCTGGAGTTCTTTCTCTACACAGTCTTCGAAACAAATAGACCTCGCTGTAAGTGCTAAGCACCTGATTAGATTACGTTTGTATTTCATCGGTACGCAGCTAAGGAAGTGTGTATACTGACCTTTGGTCTCTAACTTTCTAAATATGGTTCTTTTGACGGAACCATCCTCTCTTTTCGTTAGTAGGACGTCGAGAAAGTGTAGAGAGTCATTGTATTCTCCTTCGTAGGTGAAATGGACCACTGGGTGAGCATTATTGAAGTTGTTCAAAGAGAAATTATTGAAAAGAATATTCTTCGTTCAGATTGACTTTTAATTCATAATATGGGAATATTTCACACTATCAAATCTTTAGATGGTTGGAGGTAATAGTTAGGAAGCCTTAGTTACTGGGACTCATTGTCAAGGCGTATTCGCAACTTTTGAAGAAATTGATTTACCCTCTGAAATTCGAAGTCACATCATCCAGTGCTGTTGGGAGTTAAGACCGTTACCACTGAAGTGTTTGGGCTCATAATTAATTCCTCATGGCTTTCTGCTGACTACCTCCGACCAGCTAAGATCAATTCAGAATGGTGACTAAAACTCAGACTTGACGAAAAGAATTCACTCTACACTAACAGAGAAAAGCTAGACGTACAACAGTGGCTAAACTTTGGAGAGGAAGTCAATCACGAGGACGAATAGCTCAATGGTAATTTCTCTAACTGAAAACAACACTGGATAATACGGATTCGGAGTCTGAGGATAGAAACCAGTGACTTCAATGTTTCAGACCAGCCTTGTTAATAAGTGCTGACAGGTAAAAGCCTAAGTAAGGCATGGCTTCTTGCAGATATCCTCCAACCATTTAACATCAGTTATTTGACTCTATATGTTAGTCATAAGAGGTAAGTCGAGTTGTGACCAGTAGGGTGCAGCAGGTCAGGTGTGAAGATAAATACTCGCCACCAATGACATTGGCTAGTGATAGCGCTACATCGTGAATTGGCAGAAGTTAGAATTCATGAACTGGCCATTGGATCAGTTGGGGCCCAGTGGCTTAATGGTCTACGACCTAGCTCGGTCGCCTTGTAACCAGAAGGTCCTGGTTCGACCCCCTGTGATGGTTGCGTACTGCTGAACATTCCCAAAATAGGAGGAAACAGCTGTCCAGTACTCCCAGATTTTCCAATGGTTCTCTAACCAATGTCATCTGAAGATGAATTCCTATACCATCCTTTATTTCTACTGAGAATTTTCATGAAACTGTTCTCTGTGTTGAATGATAACATCAATTTGTCATAGGAATATTTCAACTTTCAAAGGAAATCAGGCTGAGTATGTGCAGCAGGGTGCTTATTATCACCAATGATATTCCTAATTGTGGTGGACTGACTGGATTATGCGTCAGACAGTGAGTGGGAAACGAGAAGCAGACAGGGATATCCTGGACCACTGACGTGAAGAACCTAGAAGACCTGGATTTCGCGCGTGGATGATTTAAGTTTGATGTCACTGTCACAAAATCGAAGACTTACAAGCGAAAACCGACAAACTGGTCGAAAAAGCGAAGTCCCGGCGAAGAAAGGACTCCAGGTGAGCATACGGAAGACGGGGGTTATGAAAATAACCAACCAACAAGAACCACAACAACAACAGCAGCAACATCCAGCACTAATCACCATCAACGGGAGGGACTTGAAAGAGGTTACTTCATTCACTCACTTATCTAGGGAGCATTGTCTCAACTACGCGCAGTCGGAACGGACGAGTATGTCAGATCGAGAGAGAATTGGGAAGGCGAGAAACACATTCATCAACTTGAAACCAATCTGGAAATCTTCGTCACTCAGCCAGCATCAACAACAAAATTCGGTCGGATTTTCGATACAAACGTCAAGTCATTCAGTTGTTCTATACGGATCAGAAACTTGGCGGGCGGGTCACAAAGAATATTTCCAACAGGCCATTGCAGACCTTTGTCAACAACTGTCTTCACTGGATCTATACTGAAGATCAGATGGCCGGGGCGGAAGGGATCACCACCAACAAGAAACTATGGGAACAAACAAAACAAGAACCAATCGCCAACCAACAAATATGCATGAGAAAGTGGAGATGGATTGGACACTCACTCGCTGAAGAGGCCGCTGGTTGACATCGCGCGCACGTCAGGCCATTGGTCGAGTGGAACCAGGCCGAAAGGGATGTGGCGAGTGGGTTGTCGGTGCAAGGGTGACATGGAGGAGATCGTGTGAAGAGGAGTTGGAACAGTATGGACTAACATGGATGGCTGCAGGTGAAAAGTGCAGCAGAAGGAAGACAGAAGCAAGTGGAGACGTGCAGTCGAAACCCTATGTTCCACTAGGAACCCAAGGGAACAGTAATAAGAATAATAATAATAATGTGCCGCATTTTCACCACAGACACTTTTATTTGATTCTGAATACTACCAGCCACTTGAAGTAGTGAATTCATTTCACATTTCTATCAATTACTTTATGAAGTTATTAATGAGACTGATCCCAGATAGCTGAAACAACTAACCGGTTTTTAAATGATTTCATTTTGGTTTGAAAACCATATTAATTTATGTGACTGACTTTAAGCTACTCACATTTGGTTAGTAGTAGTATAGTGTGGCATTTATGAAGATTGTAAAGTCTCACTCCAAATTGTAAGGTGCAAGTTGCGAACCTGATTTGTGGTACTGTCAGTTCCCTTACTTAGCTATCTAATGAGGCAGCCAGTTAGTCAGAAATTGGTTGTTTTTCGAATTGATTTGGCTTTCTGAGCTTATTCTATGTGTATCTACCTATTTGACAGCTTCTGTGGAACGTGCCAAGTAGTTGCAAAGGCCGTACAATTAGGCATGCTTATCGTTGGATTTCTGAACACCATCCTGCGTGGTTGGTTAAGTAAAGGATAGAACAGAACACAAGATTGGTGTTGACGAGGTGGCTTTCAAGTTCGTCTACCACACACCAACTAATTTGAACTTCACCTTAAGAGTTCGTTTACTAACTACTGCTGACGCTGACATTAAGAAGCCTAATTTATGTGTCCAAAAGAAGCTAGTTCAGATATTTCCTTTATCTTGGCTATCAATCTACGTTTGAATGATCCTCGATTTTTGCAGAAATTTCCTTAATCTTATTTGATATTCTACTTGCTATTATATCTTTATTTTCATTATAATTTGAGCATCTTTAATAAAAAGGCCTTCGACAGCGTCGATCGAGAGATCATTTGGCAACTACTTTGCTACTACGGGGTGCCGCCGACAATTATACATCTCATCTAACAGTTGTACGACAATGCTGCATGACAAGTAATCCACAACGGGAAACTTACGGAATCCATCGAAGTGAAGACGGGAGTAAGACAACCTGGGTGCCTAATATCGCCAATGATTAATTTCCTGACTGCAATAGATTGATTAATGCGACAGACAGTGGGCAATGAGGAAACAGGCATAAAATGGACCACCCACACAAAAACAACTTGGAGGATCTGGACTTCACCGTTGTGATACATATGTGTCTGATTTCCCACAAACTGGAAGATAGGCAAGTGAGGAAAAGCAACAAGTCGGGAGAAGAAGCATCAAAGGTAGGCTTTCAGGTGAATATAGAGAAAACAGAGGTAGATGATGAGGATTCCTGGCCAACACCAACAGCAACAACAAAAGACGACAATCAGTATAAATGGGAGGAAACTAAAAGAGACAACCTCCTTCACCTAACTACCTACCTGGGAAGCATCGTTTCAACTAAAGACGGAACTGACGAGGATATCAAAGCCAGAATCGGAAAAACAAGACAAGCCTTCATTACTCTTAAGTCTGTGTGGAGGTTAACTGCACTCAGCATCAAAAATGAGATCCGGATTTTCAACTCCAATGTGAAGTCAGTCAGTGCTACTATACGGATCAGAAACTTGCACTGCGCGTCATAAAGAGCACCTCAAACAAAATACAGACCTTTATTAACAGCTGTCTTCGCTCAATACTCAAGATTATGAATTGTTGACTACTATCCTAGAATATTCTGTGCATATAAACATATGTATATATAACTGTAAAGCCAGAAGAGGAATTCATCAAAAAAGGATATTCTTTGCTCAATTATTTTGTATTTTATAGATTTATGAATGAATATTTTCGCTTCTGGTTTGGAAATGCTTTTTGTTTACAAGCCTCCAAATAAAGAGACAATGTTAACCATGGGCTTGAAAACCTCACCCTATAATTAAAACACTTCTAGTAATGAAAAGGCATCAAAAGGAGATTTTTTACAAAGTATTTTATTTTATATATATATGTGTCCAAAATACGCATTACAATGCTTTGTTGCCCGAGGAAAAGGGAGAATTTGATCGATAAAAACCAAAAATATCAACAACAAAAAATGAGATAAAAAGCCGACACCATCATTTAACATCACTGTCATTATTTCCATCTTGTGTATATAATTATAGTGCAGGCAATTTCCATAACTAGTGGTATCACTATTGTAAAACCAAAAATATACCATAGTTGATGAATGCTCCATTGGTCAATAATTAAAAATAGCGAAAATAAACATCCAAGTGAATGTATAAAAATACCTAGAATAAGATGGTTAAGGTAGATGGCAAAATTAATCAATTTTCAACAAATCAATTTTTTCGATTTTCTGAACATGTGCCGAAAAGCCTACGTCTCAAGGGAACAAACTCTTATAGCAGCGCTACTACCAGACATCTCCTCGACACGGGTCATGAGGTGGAAATCGAGAAATCCTTCAAAATTATCAATAGACAAAGGAGCTCGATTCTCCTCAAGTTTACCGAAGCAATTTCTATCAAACGCTGGAAACCAGATTTATGTGTTCATAAAGAAGCAGTAATCAGTCTTTCCTTGCCTTGGTAACTGGATGCCTTTTTTCTCTCATCTGATTACGTAATCTTTGTCTTTAAGCTCACCCTCTTTTATATTCTGTAATTTTGCTTGTCTCTTGTTTCTATGATTTGAGTTCAACACAGTACATTGTTACCTAACTTATTAGTCACTATGCATCCAACACACATCCCTTACCATTATATACATACATTTATTTATTATTTTTTAACTTGAACTGCCTGTGTAAAAACTATATAAGCGCAATTTTCTGAGCACTGTTTACTAGTTGTGAAACTTTCTGTCAACATGTAAAATTTGCAAGTTCGCTAAAACGTTTCTGTATTTAAACCTGAAAATTTATTTAGGCTGTAAGCAGCTGACGAGAAGCCAACGAAATAAATGATGGTACCATGTTATTCTGCACAAATCAATGTTGTTCTCGCTTTATTCAAATTAATCAATAATATTGATTAACAACTCAAATTTCTTTGTTCAGAGTTAAGTTATATAAAGTCTTAAGCCATGTAGTGAAGTGATATCAGCTGGAGAACCAATTAACTGCAAAATACAGAATACTTGGCAGCTGTTTCGTCTTAGTTTGCCACTACTCTTAACCTACCAGAACGTACCCATGACTTCATTGGGGGTCGAACTAAGAACCTTTACATTACTTGACAAACCCAAGTGACTGTTCAACCATTGGGACTTGTGTCTTCATACTCAACTAGATGGATTCAACTGGTTAGCACTTCTCACTAAAACCCTAGGCAACTCACACTGTTATAATTGGTCACTAGTGAGCATAAGATTAATTTTAAAGCGTCGGTTTGTAGGGACCACCTTTGAATATTAAGTAATCCAAAACATTTTATGATTATAGGGAATAATAAAAAGACTATTGCAGAGAAGAAAATTTTCTTTTCGACGAAGTCACCATCAACTAGATAGCTGTACATTCGTGTGTATTTATAATAAATGTGCGTCGATGGCACAGTGGTTAGGACTCTCGCCGACCATGCACATGGTCCTGGGTTCGAGCCCACGTCGACGCACACCTGATATCTATGGTCGGCCTGCGAAATTTAGGCTACCGATATCCACGCTGAAAATTCCATACTTGTACCGAAAATACAGTGTGGAATCAAGCTGTAATCAAAAAAAAAATTTAAAATTTAAATGAGTGGGAAAGTTCCAGAATAATTTCTGGTCAAGGGTCAAATTAATAAAATTAGAATTAGGGATTTTAAAACTCTTTCAAAATCATATGCAAGATTCAATCAAACCTATCAAAGGGGGTAAAATTAAGACATCTGGGCAGAACCGATGCACTAGCCATCCAAAAGCTCAAATCCATACTATGTATCCAAAAGAAATACGTCCAACCCTTGTGTCTCTGCTATGGCCATCATAAACAATTGATTCTTTTAATAATGACTATCCCATTGCCTTTCTTATCAAAACTTCCTGTTTATTCATGTTATTTTTAAGTTTTTCTTAAACCCCATTTACACTACCATGTTTTCATATCCGAACTTCGTGTCTATTTTGTCCTTTTACTATTTCTACATATTTAGTCCCTGATTGCACAAACAAATATTCATCGCATTAGTTATGATCCCACTAGATTTTCTATCCGAACATCCTGTCTATCTATTTTGTTATTTCTACATTTCTTACCCCCAATTGAACAATATGTCAATGTTCTCAGTAATTATGATGCTAATTTGTTTGAGTTTTATCCGTCCCTCCCCCCTTTTTTATTATGGTATTTTAATTCCTAATTGTAATTTTATTAATTTGCCACTTGACTGAAAATTATTCTGGAACTTTCCAACCCATTTATTATAAATACACACGAATGTACAGCTATCTAGCTGTTGACCTAAACAAACTGGTTAGCACTCACATGAGGTGTGCAACATAGATGACACTGAAATAGAAACCAAGTCGGAAATTAAATACCTAGGCATCATTCTATCTGCTGATGATGATGATCCTGGTCGTCTTATATCTTGATGATTTCTAAAAAAGTATTCCGTCTTACCTTCTAAATCAAGAAGTTAAGACATTCTGGTATAACCCGACCCTTACTCCTACAATTCGTTAACTCTCGCATCCTGCCTATTATTCTCTATTGTTCCCAATTAGTTTTTCCAGGGCTACTGAAGAAAGACTACACCTTATTACGCAGAATGTTAAAGGTTGTCAGCAGCGTAAGCAATGTGCCACTTAACCAGCTTGTTAATATTCTGGTCGACAAGCACTTGGACTCATGTGAAAAATGGGCTCAATCCGTTCTATCTGTCTAACCCACACCACCAAACCCCTCATTCACAACTCTCCCCTTGTATCTCATCAGGCAGAACCAGAAGCCTATGTAGAAAACTATGTGCTCGCATTAGCAAGTACAAAACTCAACCATACCCTACTTAGCTCGTGTTCTGTGTGATAAAGAAAGCATTAGGCGTGATACCTATAACTTATTAAATAGTCAGTAGAACAAGTGGATCTCGTCTTTCCAACTCCTCATATCATTGATAGGTATAACGCTTTCTTTCTTTCTTTTCCTTTTCTCTTTTTTGTTGTTATGTGCTGATTTGTTTCTCTCTTCCTTACAAACTCGTTCTTTCACCCTCTGTATAACTCGACCTTTTTGTTACCGCTTACGCCAGTAAATAAGCTAGTATCTACTTTTCTAACACCTTCAAACACTCTGCTCACTTTCGGCTTTGCTACCGATATGCTAATATGTTGTTGTCAAAACTAACTGAGATTACCCTTAATCTATGTAAAATTTTATTTAATGTTAATGTACTAAAAGGATGCAATACTGTAGTAAAATGCTGAGAATTCCATTCTGTATCATAAGTACTGTTTTGGAATAAAGCAAATTATTATCATTATGTATTAAAAAAAAGAAAATTTTCTTCACTGTAACCGTCTTTTTATTCCCTATGATTAGTTTATGTGAATAAACTGGAAGTGGTTAGTATTTAAAAGTAATTTAAAAAAGGAACTTACTTAAAGCATCAAGTATTTCTACAGAGTTCATTATGATCAGTAATACTTGTCAGATCCGTCTGCTTTCCTATCGAATCGAAACGACGGGGATTGCGGGGGGCGGGGTATTTACATTTTCATCCTATCCACATGGTTTTGAAACTTCAAACAACATAACATGAAATTAGAAGCCTACATAGGATCGGAAAAGCAAGGCAAACTTTCATTACTCTCAAGACTGTGTGGGGTCGGCGGCACTCATCATCAAAAATGAGATCCGGATTTTCAACTCCAATGTGAAGTCAGTCAGTGCTACTCAATATACGGATCAGAGACTTGACACGTCATAAAGAGCACATCAAACAAACTACAGACATTCATTAGCAGCTGTCTTCGCTCAATACTCAAGATCAGATGGCTAGAAAAGATCAGCAATAAGGAGGGATCTCTGGGAGCAAACCAACCAGGAACCAAATGTGCAAAAATAAGCAGGAAGAAATGGAGGTGGGTTGGAGTGGCCATACTCTGAGAAAACAAACCATCAAGTGACATCACTAGACAAGCTATTGCCGAGTGGAACCCGACAGAATAGGAAGCGGCGAGTTGACCGTCTGACATTGGGGTGACTTGGAGGAGGTCATGCTGAGAAGGGGAGATGAAAGCATGCGGGCAGACGTGGAGCCAGGTGAAAACTCTAGCAGAGAACCGAACGCAGTGGAGACGCACGGCTGAAGCCCTATGTTCCTCTAGGAATTAAAGGAAATAATAATAGTAATACATAGGTACCTTACAATCATAGACTAAACAAACTAAATGCTGAAACGAAAAAATTTCCCGCTTTCTATTTTTCAACATTGGCTGCATTATTTGTAAAGTTCTTTTAGACCTAGGTACTTGTCTTCCAATCGTCCTGTGGATTAATTATTTGTAGTGCACCTTCCATGACAAGAAGATAAACTTAGGAGTGAAATAAATTTCAAATGAATAAAATTAAGTGTCATAAGTTTACTTTTAACGATTATGTATCCAATCAGACTTAGATCGCATTTTGTGCTCCTATTTGTGTTGATAATACCCACATCCTCCGAGACCATAGTTCAGCCAAATAAGCCATATAATCTTATAAATTCTTTTCCTATAGCTAGGCTCCTGGAATTCGAAATTTCAAAGTCTCGTAGTCAGCGACTTCAATGCCCCAACAGTTGACTGGACGAGCCTTACGACTCCATCTTCAGTCAACTCCTTTGATCTAGTATATCGCTAGTTCTAGTCCAGCATATTAATAAGCCCACGCGTTATGACTCACAGCACTCCTCCTCAACTCTCGACCTAGAGTTCTCTCACGGTGAGGATGCGGATATCATACAACATCTTCCTCCTTTAGGAAGAAGTGACCATGCTGTACTCACTTTCTAGTTCACAGCAACGGCAGCAAGGGCCAAAACCCCAGCTCGACCAAACGTTTGGAAAGCTAATATAAATGCAATCGTCTCAGCAACCAACTCAGTAAACTGGTACATCAATCCAGAGTCCCAAGTAGAAGCCTCATGGAACCAATTTAAACAACTTTACACCCAAGTAAGTGAACCTTTTATCCCTTGGTCTGTCCCAGAGGGTCGGAAACATTGCCAACCTTGGATAAACCGAGAGATTCGTAAGTTATTCAGACGTAAACACAAATGTTGGAATCTGTTTGCCACACTTGAGACTTCTGAGACCAGCAAATTATATAAAACTGCTGGAAATAAAGCTGTTGTAGAAATCCGCCAATCAAGGATGAAGTTCGAAGCACATATGGCTCAAAATGCAAAAGCACAACCTAAGAAAATTTTCTCGTACATGAACTTCAGGAATAAAACATCCAATGTTGTCCTAAACCTGACTATTGACAATGACACAATCGAAGAAGATCAAGAAAAAGCAGAGGCGGTGGCAGACTACTTCTCCAAATTCTTCACTCAGGAGTCATCAGTGCCTATAGGATCAGCTCTGGCTGCATCAGAAGAACATGGGATAAATTCCGTTGACATCGACCAAGACATCGTTCTCAACTCCCTAATGAAACTAGATGCAGGGAAATCAATGGGTCTTGATAATCTTCACCCAAGGCCTCTCAAGGAGCTGTCAGCTCATATAACCGGCACTTTGACCATGCTCTCCAAGCTCCCTCTCCTAAATGGAGTGTTACCGCGTGACTGGAAAGATGCCATAGTAACCCCCATCCACAAAGGAGAATCACGGCAAAGCCCTTCAGATTACAGGCCTATCAGTCTCATCAACATCTTAATCAAAACACTGGAAAGAATTATCAAGAAAAGCATCATGGAATATCTGGAAAACACCAGCTTGTTATCCAGAGCACAGCATGGCTTCCGAAGGAACCTGTCATGTCTGTCAAATCTCCTCACTGCAAGAGAAAGCTGGGTAAAATCAAGGGACAACAGAAGACCCGTTGACGTAGTCTTCATAGACTTCAGCAAAACCTTTGACAAAGTACCTCACAAAAGACTATTCATGAAGTTGGAAAGTCTTGGTATCAAAGGCAGATTGTTAAACTGGTTCAGGGAACTCCTCATAGATAGGAGGCAGAGGGTTAGGATCAACTCGAAACCCTCCTCTTGGACAGCAGTACGTAGCGGAGTGCCACAAGGCACGGTACTCGGTCCTCTCCTATTTATTCTGTATATCAATGAGTTACGTCTGCTCGCCGACTCCCCTATGGTCCTATACGCAGATGACTTAAAAAATTTGGAGAGAGCTGAAGGGCAACAGTGATACGTCCACGTTGCAAGAGGACCTCAACAAATTGTCAGAGTGGTCCATATAATGAATGCTCCTGATCAGTGTGACAAAATGTGCAAACATGAGCATTGGACAAGCAAGCACGAGCTTCTACGAAGTAGAAGGAATAACAATTCCGTCAGTTCAGACTCACTTGAACTTAGGTGTCATAGTTAGCCACGACTTAAAAACTATAGGACACTATCGCGCGGTGGCTGCACGTAGTTTCAGGTCCTTATGAGCAATTCTCAGAGCCTTTACTAGAATCACTAGAGACGTGTTTACCTCCATATAGACATCTCTGGTGAGGTCAAAACTGGAAAACTGTATCCAGGCAGCCAATCTTTATATTAAAGGGGACTCACATATTCTAGAAAGGGTTCAAAGGAAGGCAACACGTATGATTCTTGGCATGACTAACTTACAATACGAGGAGATACTAGACAGTTTAAATCTCTTCTCCCTGTTATACCGTAGGCAGAGAGGAGATTTAACTTCAATGTTTAAAATTTTAAATAATGAATACGGACCTCACCTATTCTTTTTATTCTTCTCACCCGGGCGGAACACCATAGAGGACATAGCAGGAGAGTTCTAAAGCCCAGAAGAAATCATATTGTTGTTGAGTTCTGGTTACCACATCGAGTCGTACACTCTTGGGAAAGACTCCCAGAAGAAGTGGTGTCTGCAACCTCAACTCATTCATTCAATAAAAGTTTGGACAAGCACAGAAATTCGCTAGAAAAGGATTAACATAGGCTGCAAGCCTTCTATCCTCAACCAATAAATCTGAAGTCTGAATCTGTTGAGAGGTGTGTACAAGCATTCAACAGTCTGCTGAAGCAATATTGCTTCAGACATATGTGTTGAGTACGTAACAATGTGATTGTACACTTTTTGGTTACTTGTATAAATTCGACATATTGTACATAATTTTTGTTTAAAACGCTTCTTGTTGAAATATACATAACTTCCGTGTACAATTGAAAAATACACTCTGCTGTTGGTGACTTCGTCTTCTCCCTGGTCCCTTCTGCTTACTTGCTCCACTCACACCGTGTTGTATACTTCGGATTTATTGTAGGAGCCTACTACTTTCAACCGAAGACATTTCTACAACCGGAACACAGCAGCTACAGCAGACGCAGTCCAAACAGTTAACGTGCCTGTGGATTATATAATTAATTTGTAGCCGAGGACTTATACTGTATAACCAAGTAATCCTTTTTGTTGCTATAACTCGTCACTGTATTTTTGGTAATATATTGTGGTTTAACACTCCACTGACTTGGATTATTACTTTTATATTTGGAATGTTAGTGAACTCTAATATTAGTCCCCTACATATGTTTTAAAGAATCAGTATGCTCCTGTTCTTTATGAAACACCTACTTACAGATACTTAACCAACCAAAAAAGGGAAGAAGTGAGTCCATAGTTGCTATAAAAACGGAGACGTATTGCATTGAAGCAGGGGATTTTGTCTAGGAATGTCCCGTTTTCCCAGAAGGCGCACTACGTCCCTTATTTACATATAGTTTTCACGTTTCACTCAAAATAATCTCCCCCTTTTTACACTTAATTTTTGCATTTTCTGCAAATAATTTACCACTTGTATTATTATTCTTTTATTTTATTGTATTTTTGATTACAGCTTGATTCCACACTGCATTTTTGGTACAAGTATGGAATTTTCAGCGTGGATATCGGTAGGGAACATGCAGCTTTTATTATAAAACCTCCAGTCATTTAAAATTTCATCAGAACACAAAAATAATATTTTTAAAAATTCAGAGATATATCTCTATCAAAAAGTCGTTTTCTTTGAAAAGGATACAAAAGATGTTTTGAATAAGTAAACTCCCAACCGTTGCTATGAAGCAGAGAAATATCTCCACAATGATAAATGCTAATGAGAAGACAAGAGGCGGAAGAAACCTAAATTCAAGTTAGTCTTCATGTGAAATTACTACATCGAGCTTGATTTTAGAAATTCTGATTGCACATAATAATCCTAAATCACGGTAAATATTTCAATTTTGCCTTACCAGACTCGAGATAATAACGGAGAATAGAATTATTTGTATGAGAGTTACTAAAACTCTTATTTCAAAGATCATAATGTATCTGACGCCAAATTTAAATGTGTAACAATGAATACTATAGCGACCAAATCTCAATTCAATATCCAATGTCGTTTTCACATTCTAGTATAAACCAATTTGATTTCTTTGTTCTTGCTCCTTGATTATGAGGTGACTGTTCCTGGGTGACTCTTAACTATAGAAGCCCAAAATGAAACGACCTAATGAACGAATTGATGACCTTGACAAATATATTTACAAAAATTGGTTTAATCTGACTATAAGGATTTCTTTGAGAAACTAGGAGGCTTTTTGGAACATATAAAAGAGTATTACTCTATGTAATAATATCTTAATATTGCATTATTTGTATATAGGCATTTCAAATTGCGCACTTCTCACGATTGTGATTGGTCGCTAGAGGTATTTTTTATTTTATGGTTACAGCTTGATTCCATACCGTATTTTTGGTACAAGTGTGGAATTTTCAGCGTGGATATCGGTAGCCCAAAATTCGCAGGCCAACCATAGATATCAGGTGTGCGTCGGCGAGGGCTCGAACCCCGGACCATGTGCATGGTCGGCGAGAGTCCTAACCACTGTGCCACCGACGCAGTAGTTTCGTTTAGGACTGCTGTAGTTTAGAGTCACCGGTTCCTGATCTCCTGTAAACTTCTGCATAATTCGTCTGTAGCTTTGGTTGACTCCAAAATGATTGGTTCCGGGATTAATTATATGTCGTTTGTAGTATGCGTGTGTTAAGACCATGTTGTTACTGTGAATGGACATAATCCTTTCACCACTTAGTCCTCCAGTGTCGTCGACAAGAGGAAAGAGATAATAACAACAAATATAATTAGTGTCGGTTATTTGGACTAAAAGACAGAAAAAATAAAGAAAACGTAAAAACAGACAGTTAATTGAATTTGAGGTTGAGATATAGGTATATGTATATAATATTAAAAATGATAATAAATGCAAGGTAATAGTTGCAGTAGTCAGGAAAGTAGGACAATTGGGAATGAAGAGAAGCGAAACGATAAGTTTAGGTGTCTACCCGTTAATGGTGCGTGGGATTGTAAGGGGATAGACCATGTGGACCTAGTCCTTGTGCCGCTGCACGGCTGCCCAGTCTTCGTTTAAAGCTGTCCACAGGCGGTGCTGTAGCTTCATGTGCCGGTAAGGAGTTCCAGGAATTTTTTTTAATTTTTTTTTTGATTTACAGCTTGATTCCACACCGTATTTTTGGTACAAGTATGGAATTTTCAGCATGGATATCGGTAGCCCAAATTTTGCAGGCCGACCATAGATATCAGGTGTGCGTCGGCGTGGGCTCGAACCCCGGACCATGTGCATGGTCGGCGAGAGTCCTAACCACTGTGCCACCGACGCAAAGTCTCAGTGAAAAGAAGTGGTAGCACACTCGATTCTTCGCCCTGTGGTAAGCTATCCTTCATGGATTCCCACGAGGAAGCACACGCGTACTTAATAGCAGAATATCTTTGTTTGGATGATTCTGTTCACTTGTTGTCTTAAGGGAAATAACCAAGTCCCCCTAGGCCGACTGTAGCTAAGTGTGAATAGACCTAATCTCTTCAGCCCTTTGCCACACAGTTTGTTTCGGAGACCCATCACTCTCTTTTTCGCCCTCTTTGAACTCTTTCTAAAAGGTTTCAGTCTCCTCTAAATACTAGGGGTTCAATTATACTGTGCACTTCAAGATGTGATCTGAGGTATGTTTTGTACAAACTCAGAAAGAGCTCAGTAGTCCGTGAACCTGTCTATGTGCAAAGTGAATGACCACATATACCCTCGCTACATCCCCCGTATAATTCACGCTTGTTTCCATTTTCTCCGTCAGTACTAGATCTGAGTTACGCTGCAAAGTTGTGCAGGGCAAGCTGCCATTGCACAGGATGTAACTTGCATTCTGCAGTCTACAGTCGCGTGATTTCACTAGGTTGCACCTTTAAAGTTGGAATTCACGCCATTCTGCAACACCAAGTCTTTCAGAAGCTTTAGGTCTAAGTGCAGCCTATCCGAGTCTTCCGAACACTTTATTGCTCTCTAAATCTTTTTCATCAGCGTAAAGAAGAGTCGGACAGCTTTGACGGTATGCTAGATAATTGGTAAAAATCAAAGAGATTAGCTAGGTGATCCTTCCGTTGTCTAATAACTTTTTGAGAGGGCTTCTATAAATTTTATGATTTTTTGTGTCACGCTTCGTGATACTTCGGAACAGTTCCCGTTCTTTAGTTGATTCCAGGTTCGCTGTATGCAAAACAGTTTGTACGTTGGTTTATATCATTTGCATTGTGGTGGTGATGGGGCACGGGCATGTTGTTTAACCAGGCAGTCCTCCGATTAGGTAGACAGATGCTCTAGGAAAAGCGATAAAAGCTGAGTTAAGTCTAAAATTTAGACAAACTGAACAGAGGGAAGGTAGGTTTAGAAGATTTGGTAGAAGACAAGTGAGATAGCGACAGTGCACGCACCCATAACAAAAACATAGGGAAAGGAAAAAATAGGACAAGATGCTACAGAGTTAATGATGAAAACAGTAACAAAATGGTAGAACATGCGGAGATGATGTCAGCCAATACTCAAAAACTGTCAATGTCCAGCTCTTGCTACGATGGACCTCACGCTGTCCCTCGAAGATTTTCAGAAACACTTAGTATTAACCGACGCAAAAACCCAAAACATAACAATAAATCACGATATTACTTCTGATAGTTTTCTAATCTTCCTTCTGAACAGCGATGGGACGATCACTGTCGGATTGATGACACACGAAAATTGTGAGGAAGTTGGGTTTGAGCAAACAGCCACGAAATGATCGTTCAATCTTCAGTTACATTGTCAGATGAGCTACCACAAGTGGGATATTTTTCGAACCAATACAGTTTTCATGAACTGGTCTAGTTCTGGAATGGATACACTCAAACCTATGATTTTCACACGACGGCATATCCCCCGTTGAAGTTACTGGCTTATCAAGCGGTTGCTGCGTCTGCGGGCAAGGAATGGTATAGGTAGAGAAACCGAAGGGAAAGGGGGTTTTCTACTACTTTTATCACTGACCTTTGATGAGAGGTTCAGTTCTGCTTGTGGTGAAGGACACCATGGTGCACTTCTAGGCTGCGCACTATTTCGTACAACTTGACGTTATTCTCAAAACTGCGGCAGCTAGGTGCATGCATTTTCAGTTGTCTTAATCAGTCACTGTACGTCCCAGATCTCAGTATGATCGTAGTTTAGGTAGCCCGTCGCCTCAGTCATTCTAGGAGACTCGCATCTTGTTATAAGAGTGGTGTTGCAGTGACTTGAACATCCAGATGTGAAGTGATGTGGGTTTCAGACAGCTGCATAAAGACTCCATACGTGTGTGACCTCGACTTCCAACTCACGAACTGCATTCCCCAGTCTCTTCGATTCCACCTCCCACATGGTTAGCATGTAGGCCATCTACACAATATGCAACTGCCACTCAGATCTAGCCGTTGAATCAGAAAACCAAAAGAAAGAGGCGAGTAACAAAGTATGAGCCGTATCATTTTATGATTTGTAAGGCTTTCTTTATCTATAATAATAATAATTAATACTTTCTATAAACTGACGTTTACAAGAAATGTATGCCATTTTTACGGACACGATCGGCTATGTTACAAACTACAGTCGTGAAGTATCACAAATTATTATTCTTTCAAAAGTTTCAACTGTTCAATTATTCTACAAGCGTAAGTTAAGTCCACAAACTATCAATATCCAGCTCTTGCTACGATGGACTTCACGCTGTCCCTCAAAGACTTTCAGAAACAGTTTGTATTAACCAACGTGAAAACCAGAACACTGATTGGCGACTCAAGTATCCTTTATTCTTACGCCAACATATAACCAACAATAAGGTTATTACAGAAGGTCTAAGAATGAATGTTATAACAATAAATCACGATTATACTTCTGATAGTTTTTAATCTTCTTCTGAACAGCGAACGATGAGACGATGACCGTCGGATTGATGACACGCGAAAATTGTGAGGAAGTTGGGTTTGAGCAAGCAGCCACGAAATGATGGTTCAATCTTCAACTACATTGACAGATGCCTTTAACTGGAAGCCGTAGGTCGTCGTCGGTGAATGTGATTGTGCTGTGGGTATGCCTGTGGTGTGTTGGATTTTCTGTTTGTTTTCCATTTCAGCTTTGTCCGTGTAACCCAGGTTCTCGCAATGGCATCCAAGTCAATGTGCATTGGTCGTGATGGAAAAAAGGGATGGATCCTATTTGCCGGGAAGTGTCAATGTAGTTGAAGATTGAAAGATCATTTTTTTATTACAGCTTGATTCTACACCGTATTTTTGGTGCAAGTATGGAATTTTCAGCGTGGATATCGGAAGCCCAAATTTTGCAGGCCGACCATAGATATCAGGTGTGCGTCGGCGTGGGCTCGAACCCCGGACCATATGCATGGTCGGCGAGAGTCCTAACCACTGTGCCACCGACGCACATTTCGTGGCTGTTTGCTCAAACCCAACTTCCTCACAATTTTCGCGTGTCATCAATCCGACGGTCATCGTCTCATCGTTCGCTGTTCAGAAGAAGATTAAAAACTATCAGAAGTATAATCGTGATTTATTGTTATAACATTCATTCTTAGACCTTCTGTAATAACCTTATTGTTGGTTATATGTTGGCGTAAGAATAAAGGATACTTGAGTCGCCAATCAGTGTTCTGGTTTTCACGTTGGTTAATACAAACTGTTTCTGAAAGTCTTTGAGGGACAGCGTGAAGTCCATCGTAGCAAGAGCTGGATATTGATAGTTTGTGGGACTTGACGGATAGCATTATCTTGACATTTGAAACACAAACAGCACTTGCTAGAAAGACTCTTGCAGAACGCAACGCGTCCATAGCAGCACCTCATGATACTCTTCACACATCCTCTTATCTATTCACTACCAATTACCACTGCAATCGCCTGTCATTCATTCTGCCTCAGTTCTAGTAACGGTGACGTATGCTAGCCTCAGTCGTCTACACTATTTCTTCTCGGCGTGTGGGACCACAGGTAATCATTATCACTGTGTGCATGTCATTCTCATCACTAGCCTAGCCTCCCCGGTGTAAACGACTCATCTGCTGTCTTTAACATCAATCAATTCATTCACGGATGTAGAAGACTCGAAACAACTTCAGAAGTAATCACGACGAAAATTTTAATAAAATTATGCAATAAAAACAAGGTACGAAAACAACGAGTAAACACAATGAATCCAAAACACCACCAGTTGATATGACACACCACACGTATATACAAACAGTACACACAAACTCTCAGATCGTGTCTCGATGGAATTCCTTTGAAGAATCGCAGGACTTGCGTCAGTACGCCTGCAACCCTTCTCAGGTTGACGATTGTGAGTTGAGAAATGTCCGGACACAAACAAGATTAACCAACAATTACAATAATAATTATTATTATTTATTATTATTGTATCCTTTAGTTCCTAGAGGAACATAGGGCTTCAGCTGCGCACCTCCATTGACTTAGGTTTTCTGACAACTTTTTCACCCTGCTCCAGGTCTGTCCACATGCTTTCATCTCCTCCTCGCATGACCTCCTCCAAGTCACCCTTGGACGACCAACTCGCCGCCTCCCTTTCGGGTTTCACTCGAGGGCTTGTCTAGTGATGTCACTTGATGGTTTCCTCAGCGTATGGCCAATCCATCTCCATTTCTTTCTGCCTATTTGTTTCACAATCGGTTCCTGATTGGTTCGCTCCCAGAGATCCCTGTTGCTGATCTTTTCTGGCCATCTGATCTTGAGTATTGAGCGGAGACAGTTGTTAATGAAGGTTTGAAGTTTGTTTGAGATGCTCTTTATGACTCGCCAAGTCTCTGATCCGTATAGTAGCACTGACTTCACATTGGAGTTGAAAATCCGGATCTTATTTTTGATGCTGATTGCTGTTGACCTCCACACAGATTTGAGTGTAATGAAAGCTTGTCTTGCTTTTCCGATTCTGGCTTTGATGTCCTCGTCAGTTCCGCCTGTAGTTGAGACGATGCTTCCCAGGTAGGTGAAGGAGGTTGTTTCTTTCAGGTTCTTCCCTTTTATGCTTATTGTGGTCTGTTGGTGTTGTTGATGTTGGCTAGGAATCTTCATTATCTCTGTTTTATCTATGTTCACGTGAAGTCCTATCTTTGATGCTTCTTCTGCCAACTTGTTACTTTTCACTTGCATATCTTCCAGTTTATGGGAAATCAGACATATATCATCGGCGAAATCCAGATCCTCCAAGTCTTTTGTGTCAGTCCATTTTATGCCTGTTCCCTCGTTGGTTGCCGTTGTCTGTCGCATTATCCAATCAATTGCAATCAGGAAGATCATTGGTGATAGTAGACAGCCTTGCCTCACTCCCGTCCTCACTTCGAAGGCTTCCGTAAGTTTCCCGTTGTGGATTACTTGGCATGCAGCATTGTCGTATAACTGTTGGATGAGGTGTATAATTGTCGATGGGACCCCGTAGTAGCGAAGTAGTTTCCAAATGACCTCTCGATCGACGCTGTCGAAGGCCTTTTCAAAGTCGATGAAGTTGAGATAGAGAGGTGACTGCCATTCCAAGCTTTGTTCAATGATGATCCGTAGAGTGGCGATTTGATCAATACATGATTTGTTTCTCCTGAATCCAGCCTGTTCCGGACGAAGTTTTTCATCTAGGGCTTGTTTGATTCTCTCCAGGATGATGCGACTTAGTATCTTGCTTGGAATGGACAGAAGCATAATTCCACGCCAGTTTTTACATTGACTTAAGTCTCCTTTCTTTGGAAGTTTGAATAAGTATCCGTTCTTCCAATCCTCGGGTACTTTGCCCTCTTTCCACACCTTCTCCAGCAGTGGTGTCATCAAGTCCGCTGTTGTCTCTGGGTCTATTTTCAAAGCCTCTGCTGGGATTCCATCTGGTCCCGGTGTTTTCCCAGCTTTAAGCATCTTGATTGCATTCAGGACTTCTGATTTCGTCGGGGGGTCAGTGTTCACTGGTAGTTCTGCTTCCGTTGTTGGTATTGCTGGACGTGTTGTAGGTGGCAGACGATTTAGAAGTCTTTTGAAGTGTTCAACCCAGTGCTTTCTCTGTTCCACCTCTTTGGTGATTGACTTTCCATTGTCGTCCTTTATTGGCTTAATCTGTGTCGAACGTTTGCCCGAAAGGTTCCTAGTTGTTTGGTAGAGTGTGGCGAGGTCTCCTTTGCCTGCAGCTTGTTCTTCTTCGTTTGCCATGGTTTCATAATATTTTCTTTTGTCTTCCCTGGCACAATAATTGGAACTCACACGATTATTTTACACAAACATATGTACAATCAATACATCAAATGTTGTGGATTCTGCCTTGACGAGCTACCCTTGAAGAATTGTAGGACTTACAGCAGTACGTCTACATTTCTTCTCAGGTTGATGATACAAGTGGAAGACGTCCGGACACAAACAAAATTGCCAACAGATAGATGAGAGATGATACCGATTCAGTATATACAACATGAACATATGTACAAAATCACACACCGATTACGATGGACTGCGCACCGACGTACTACCCTCGAAGAATCGTAGGACTTAAAGCAGTATGCCTACAACCCTTCTCATGTTGACGCCCTTAAGTTGGAAAGTCATCGCACAGTTCATTTTCTGACCTTCTTCCATCATCTTTATCCTCAATTCGGAACAGTGACAGGCCCATGACGTTGTATCGTAGAATATAGATGACTAACAAACACACGAAGTATCTGGTCAACCAAGCGTATAAACAGAGTAATTTACACCAAAGATAATAGCATTCAAACAGTAATTTTGAACTCGAGAAACCTTTATTCATGCAAGTCAATTTAACAATTACCCTCTCGTACACGCTTGGCTTATCCTCTCCTAACTGAGCAATATCTTTCGTCTTTTCCAATGCACTGATACTAGCATAGTCAAAGCATAAGACACTTGAGTTCATGGACGTCCCTTTCATTGTGGATGACAACACCGATGACAACTGAGTGACACAAGCTGATGAAATTAGCGGTGCATCAGGTGATGTTGTTCGGCTTGTAGAAGGTTGTTGTCAATGTAGTTGAAGATTGAACGATCAATTCATGGTTGTTTGCTCAAAACCAACTTCCCCAATTTTCGCGGAGGCATCAATACGACAGTCATCGTCTCATCGGTCGCTGTTCAGAAAGAAGTCAGTAGCAAACCGATTTTGCTTGTCTCTTGTTTCGATGATTTGAGTTCAACTCAGTACATTGTTACTTAATCTATCAGTCACTCTGCATCTAACGCATCTCTCGTTTTTATTACGCAACTCCTTTACCATTATATGCATACATTTATTTTGTTTTAACTTGAACTACCTGTGTAAAAACTACATAAGCGCAATCCTCTGAGCACTGTTCACTAATTGTGGAACTTTCTGTCAACTGACAACATATAAAATTTGCAAGTATGTTAAGACGTTTCTGTACTTAAACCTCATAATTTATATAGGCTGTAAGCAGCAGCTGAGCTGATGAGAAGCCAACAAGGTAAACAATGATGGTACCATATTATTCTGCACAAACCACCACTGTTGTTCTTGCTTTATTAAAATCTTACATAATGGGCCATTGGATCAGTTGGGTCCTCTAGTAGCTCAATGGTCTACGAGCTCGCTAGCCTTGTAACCAGAAAGTCCTGGGTTTAAACCCTGGGGGTGGGTGGGAGCCTGCTGATGAAGCAGAGTCTCAATCTAGACTGACGAAACAGCTGTCCGGTACTCCCTATGGTTGGTTTTCTCAACGGTTCTCTAATGATGTCTGTCTGTTTTCGACATAGAACTACTTTTCACCGATGTGCAACAGTTCAAGTCGCCACACTCTCTCCATGTAGCACACAAAGCAAGAGAAGAAGGTAGAAGAAATGCATAATGGAGACAGTAAACAGAGGTGTGAGACAAAGGAATAGTAATAACGAAAAACAATACAGTTTCATTGGAAGTCATAAGTCACAAGGAGTGGATGCATCTGCGCCAGCGCCACTGAGAACGATTTTGTGCCATATGACCGATTGTTTCCAACAATTGGTTTTTACCGTCCCGAGGACCCCAACCAAGAAGTCTACACCTTCCTACTTGGCTTAGACTAACTGTTGTAGACTTCAATGACTGGTGAAGCCATGTTTTGGTTTGATCACCGCTAGCTCCCTTCCAGCCTGACCCTATGTCAACTAATAATGAAATCCTTCATCCAATTAAACTAAATCCCTACAAAATTTTTACTTCTAACCATAGAGTTCTACTTAAAATTGCAATAGGATAGAAAAATACATAAAATACATACACAACATATAACACTTGGAAGAAGTCATTCCGACCTACCTGGATGATTCTGAGTCCGACTGTGAAGCATGGCTGGAAGATGAAGAGGAGGCTGAAGAAGAAGAGGATGAGTCAGAATCAGAATCGGAGTCTGAAGACGATGAAGCAGCACTTCGACTATGTGACTTTTTATTGGTCGCGGCGGACTTCTTAGTCACATCCTCGTCGTCTTCTGTACCCCAGATATCATATTTCGACAGATCAGCATCATCACCGGATTCTTCCTCATCTTCATCGTCGTCTTCATCCACCTCATTAGCCTTATCATCCATTTGATCGCGACCAACTGAATTGTGACTTTCTTGTAGGTTATGATTATGATTACTTGAATCCGATGAATCATGATTACTACTGCTGGTCAAATGATCATTTTGACCTCTGCGGAAATTTTTCTTTTTACGACCAAATTCATCGAATTCATCATCAGAATCTCTATGCTCACGATACTCGACGACTTCATCACGCTCCATAAATCCCCCACCATAACCTGTTCTTTCACCTTGTACATCAATTTTTGGAGCATTGCATACATTACATGTGTTTCGACGAGCCCAATTCACATTACCACATCTAAAACAAAAACAACAAAAAAGAGAACAAATTATCAACAGGTGACATAAATTCACGGTTAACATTGTCCCTATCCTACAGAACACAGGCTAAATATAGTGTCGTTGAATTTCTGTACTTGGTTGGTACTACGGGGCATATAACCTTTTTCTTACAGACTGCTGGTCCTACCAGATAAGATACAAGGGTACAGTTGACAGTAGAGGTGATGTTGAAGGTTATTATTTCTTTTAATTCGTAGAGGAACATAGGGCTTTAGCCGCGCGTCTCCATTGCGTTCGGTTCCCTGCTAGAGTTTGCACCTGGCTCCAAGTCTGCCCACATGCTTTCATCTCCTCTTCTCTGCATGACCTTCTCCAAGTCACCCCACCGTGGGACGGCCAACTCGCCGCTTCCCATCTGTCAGGTTCCACTCGGTAATGGTTGTCTAGTGATGTCACTTGATGGTTTCCTCAGAGTATGGCCAATCCACCTCCATTTTTTCCTGCCTGTTTGTTGCACAATCGGTTCCTGCTGAGGTGCCAGAAATCCCTGGTGCTGACCTTTTCTGGCCGGCCATCTGATCTTAAGAGAAGTACTGAGCGAAGACAACTGTAAATGAAGGTCTGTAGTTTGCTTGAGATGCTCGTTATGACGCGCCAAGTCTCTGATCCGTATAGTGAGTAGCACTGATCTCACATTGGAGTTGAAAATCCGGATCTTATTTTTCATGCTGCTTGTCTTGCTTTCCCGATCCTTGCTTTGATATCCTCGTCAGTTCCGCCTATAGTTGGAACGATGCTTCCAAGGTAGGTAGGTAAAGTAGGTTGATTCTTTGAGACTTCTCCCAACTATGCTGGCTGATTGTTGTTGTTGTTGCTCAGGAATCTTCATCGCCTCTGTTTTATCTATGTTCACCAGAAGTCCTATCTTCTCTGGATGCTTCTTCTGCCAACCTGTTGCTTTTCCTCACTTGCATATCTTCCAGTTTGTGGGAAATCAGACATATATATCACAACGGCGAAGTCCAGATCCTCCAAGTTGTTTTTGTGTGGTTGGTCCATTTTATGCCTGTTTCCTCATTGCCCGCTGTCTGTCGCATTAACCAATCTACTGCAGTCAGGAAATTCATTAGCGATATTAGGCACTCAGCTTGTCTTACTCCCGTCTTCACTTCGATGGATTCCGTAAGTTTCCCGTTGTGGATTACTTGGCATGCAGCATTGTCGTACAACTGTTGGATGAGATGTATAATTGTCGGCGGCACCCCGTAGTAGCGAAGTAGTTGGCAAATCACCTCTCGATTGACGCTGCACTGTCGAAAGCCTTTTCAAAATAGATGAAGTTGAGATAGAGAGGTGACTGTCATTCCAAGCTTTGTTCAATGATGATCCGTAGTGTGGCGATTTGATCAATACATGACTTGTTTCTCCTGCATCCAGCTTGTTCCGGTCGAAGTTTTTCATCCAGGTCATACAATATGGATTTTAGACCACTTCTCGCATAAGTCCAGATGTCTGTCAACTATATTGTTGTAACAAGTTGACTAAATTGTATACCAACACTTGCCTAAATGATAACCTTTAACACCCCCTGCGAAGAATCACATAGTCCATTTTGAGTAGCCCAGGAATGACTACAGTGAGGGGGTCTGGCAGGAATGTGCAAAAGGCAAGATACAAGAGTTAACAAGTTGTAAAAGTAGAGGTTCAGTAATACAAGATTTTCTTAGTTTCGTGATGTAGTAGCTTGGAGATCGACAAAATATGGAATTACAGAACAAGAAAGATCATATGATAGAACTATTCCAAATTATTTAACGTTTGCTTTAGCTTCTATTTTAGTACCCACTATGCTACAAGTATCTTATGAACAGACCAGTTCGTGTAGATCACGTTATTTAAAACTAAAAGTAAAGTTAACTGTCTCACATTTAGTGGGATTCAACACATGACCATTTAGCTTAGAATATTGACTACTGTCCGACAAAAAGCTATTGAGTTTGGAAGTCAGATTGGGAGGTGACTGGAAGTGAGACAGTCAAATCACCAGAGTTGGTATTAGATAGTTAGAGGCAGAAGGGATATAAGTTCCTTCAAGGTTGCAGATACACCTTGCTGATGAACGCCAACTAGCACGAAACCTAGGTCCAAGGCTTCCTCCGATTGCCTCCAACCATCTAATACCGACAATTCACAGTACACTGTAATGTCGAGCCACCTAGCATGGTGGCCACATTGCAAGCTTGACCGATAGAATTCAGTCTGCAGCGAAGATAGGACTAGACACACACATTACACTAGTTACTGACTAGTGTCCAATCAAAAAATCACCTGAGTATTTAACGAAGTTGATTTCATCCGTAAGCAACAGACCGTGTAAGAAGATAGAAAAATAAAGAAGAGGAGAGAGAACTGCACGCTGAGAAACACCAGCTTCAATAAGCACGACAGAACAGAGGAAGTGTTGATTCAAGTGACGGAAACTGTACTTCTTCATGAATAAAACGACACTAAGCATGACGAAGAGGCACACTGGAAACATAGAATACCCACTGCACAGGTGGGTGATTCAGTTTTTCTCATAACCAAGTCAAACTCTACACAAAATTCAGAAACATTATACACAAAAAAACAACCCTAATGACGAATTTTTCTGTCAAATTTGAATAATAGTCTGCGAAAAACATTGACAACTACGTCATACGCTAAGCTAACATGAATTATGAAGAAAAAATGATTCGAGCTCACGCAAGCAGGTTGGGAAAAAATCGCCAGTGTGAAGGGGGGTTAGAAAGTATATATATATATATGTAACACTCATAAGGGATCACCTCTTAGCTTATATGCAGAAATAAGGCTTACTGGCGGTGGAACAGCACGGATTCCGCAAAGGAGGATCACGGCAAAGCCCTTCAAATTACAGGCCTATCAGTCTCACCAACACTTTAATCAAGACACTGGAAAGAATCATCAAGAAAAGCATCATGGAATATCTGGAAAATGGCAGCTTGTTATCCGGAGCACAGCATGGCTTCCGAAGGAACCTGTCATGTCTGTCAAATCTCCTCACTGCAAGAGAAAGCTGGGCAAAATCAAGGGACAACAGAAGACCCGTTGACGTAGTCTTCATAGACTTCAGCAAAACCTTTGACAAAGTACCTCACAAAAGACTATTCATGAAGTTGGAAAGTCTTGGTATCAAAGGCAGATTGTTAAACTGGTTCAGGGAACTCCTCATAGATGGGAGGCAGAGAGTTAGGATCAACTCGAAGCTCTCATCTTGGACAGCAGTACGTAACGGAGTGCCACAACGCACGGTACTCGGACCTCTCCTATTTATTTTGTATATCAATGAGTTATCTCTGCTTACCGACTCCCTTATGGTCCTATACGCAGATGATTTAAAAATTTGGAGAGGGCTGAAGGGCAACAGTGATACGTCCACGTTGCAAGAGGACGTCAACAAATTGTCAGAGTGGTCTGTTGAATGGATGCTCCCGATCAGTGTGGCAAAATGTGCGACCATGCGCATTGGACAAGCAAGCACGAGCTTCTACGAACTAGAGGGAATAACAATTCCATCAGTTCAGACTCACTTGGACTTAGGTGTCATAGTTAGCCACGACTTAAAAACTGCAGGTCACTGTCGTGCGGTGGCTGCACGTAGTTTCAGGTCCTTATGAGCAATTCTCAGAGCCTTTACTAGAATCACCAGAGATATGTTCACCTCCTTATATACATCTCTGGTGAGGTCAAGATTGGAAAACTGCATCCAGGTAGCCAGTCTTTATATTAAAGGGGACTCACACATTCTAGAAAGGGTTCAAAGGAAGGCAACACGTATGATTCTTGGCATGACTAACTTACAATACGAGGAGATACTAGACGGTTTAAATCTCTTCTCCCTGTTATACCGTAGGCAGAGAGGAGATTTAATTACAATGTTTAAAATTTTAAATAATGACTACGGACCTGACCTATTATCTCCTTTCCTTCCCACCAGGTCGGAACACCTTAGAAAATACAGCAGGAGAGTTCAAAAGCCAAGGAGAAATCATATTGCTGTTGAGTACTGGTTCTCACACCGAGTCATAAACTCTTGGAATCGACTCCCAGAAGAAGTGGTGTCTGCAACCTCAACTGATTCGTTCAAGAAGGGTTTGGACAACCACAGAAATTTCCTAGAAAAGGATTAACATCGGCTCCAAGCCTCCTATTCTCAACCAATAAATCTGAATAAAACTAAAGATTTGAAATGTGTGGTGGTGTAGTGACAAAATTCGTTGATAGGATATTGGATTTCGAGCTTTAAGCCATATTAATGCCCTCAAGAATCTAAATTATGTAACAGTCATACCAAAATGGACAAGTTGCTTCGGTGGTAGAATATTCATCGGAAGTGGTTCGGGCTTGATTCCACACTGACGGACGAACACTTAAACCTCACTTAGCCAGTAGTAACCCTGGGGAATAGGGGGAGGGTTGGGTGTAAGGACGGCAATTCTATCCGGCAAAAACAACACCACAAATAATGAAACTTCATGCCCCAAGCTTGGAGCAGTATAAGTTCCATTTAGGATTGGATCCAAAGGATTAAGAACAGAAACTGACAGGTTATGAAATTCACTTATGAAAAGGTTAAGTAAAAGAATACAGTTTAACCAACAGCAAAAAATGTGAATTAACTAAATCAGATAAAAATCAAGTCACTTAATAGATTGTTAATCTAAACCATTAGTATTGGAATGAGGTCTCGAAGTCGAATTTTGTCCGGTAATTAGATCAAGTCGGTGGTTGTTCAAGAATTGCTGACTTAGAGGTCATCAGGGGTCGTTCTGGTAGGTTAGTATCGATAGACACCCTCTTGTCAAGAAAACAGCTCAAACAAGCAGACTGGATAGACAGGCAAATTACATAATAAACGCTCGGTTCATATTTAGAAAGGTACTAATAAAGACGAAGCTCTACACACGAGACTGAGGTAAGAAAGATTTGGCTAACTCAAATGCTTCTAATATACTAAATTTACGTCAAAATCTCCAATATGGACAAACCAACTGACGTTTCTCTTTCGCTGAAACTAGAATGTGGTTAGGGAATTCAATGATGTTTGGCCTCCCAACTATCATTTCAAATGATTTCAACAAACTAACTTGGTTGCATACATACTTTAGATGCTTATGAAACGCGTATGTAATACAACCATATGGTGCACTTTTTCCTAAATCACTTAGTACATTACCTATAAGAGAAGCTAAGAGGCTGAAGCAACAATGGTTTTGACGCCAACAATGATTTCTAGTACAGACTTACGTCTTACAGATCCAATCATCTGGACTAAAAAGTCCTTTGCTTTTCTCAGCTAACTGTTTACCGACCTCAGAACCACCTTTGCTTGACGGTCCATGCTTCCTAGGCTTATCACAGCGGTTGCATCTCTCTCTTTTAGCAAAATTAACATTTTTACATCTAAAGAATATTTATAGAAGTCCGGCAATCTCACTTTGGGTCACTACAAACCCAGTCTTCTTTCGACGGCCGAGACATGTCTGACTGAATTAGCGCAACCTGCGTTCGATACAGCTAAACAAAATAACAGTCAGTAGCAGGAATTATAAAATAAATAGTCATCAGTTATGCATATAGTAATTGCTACTGGCAGAATTTAATTTTTGCCCTAATATAAGTACCAGTTATACAGAAAAGCTGTAAGTTGAGAGCATCATTCCATGCTTACTTTGCAGAAGACCCAATGTTTCACCAAATGATTGAAAACAGCATATGAAACTCACTACAGTTGCCTCGAGGAAGTTACAGTGTATCAAGAGGTGGGCTAAGTTTGACATAACAAAGGGAATGGGGGTAACCAACCTTCAACATTTTAAAAACGTGTCCAGCAGCCTATCGGGGAAGTACTCGGCATGACAACCAGCTATGTGTGCAAATAGTATATGCTTTATGATTGATGTCACTTCAGCAGCTACTTTACAACCATTTCGTTTTGCGATTGGAATTCTGTAAAAATGAGCGGATCTCATGCAGTACATGGTAACCCCTCACTGAATAAAAGTTAAACGCCTTCAAATGTTTGGAAGATGTTAAGACTATTGCAGTTAGGCTTTTGACTGGTTGGTATACTAAGGACTTAAATCAGATTCAAAGCAATACGCTGGAAGGGAAGAAAACTACTCTTAGCTCAAATACATACTGCTTGGATCATACTAGTTTCACCAAGTAAGGCAGTGCGTTACCACCTCACTGGAGGCAACGAAATACTAAACAATTTGAGGACGATATTCAATTATGAATTTAGAGATACGTGGTCTAAAACAGGCACATTCTGGAGAGGATAAGATAACACTAGTAGTCATCCAGTTTTCCAGGTCATATTATATATTTTTATTATTTCCCTGGGATCCGAGTGGAACATATGGCTTCATATTTGACTGTCTTCATAACCTCTCACACCCGGGGATCCGCGCAACTGACAAGTTGATATCGGCTAGATGTGTGTGGCCTGGTATAAGCCGTGATGTGCGTAAGTGGGCGCGTGCTTGTGAGAAATGCTAACGCTCCAAAGTTACCAAGCACAACGTCACGCCTATTGGGACCTTTGCAGTCCAGATTCCACTGTTGCACCTCCGATAGTCAGTAGTAATTCTCCTACTGCTACCAGTAAAGCCCCTGTCACACGCGCAAGTCGGCGTGTGTTCACGGGTGGAAGAGGTACACCGAAATTCTTCCCTACACGACTCCATAAATACCACTAACTGATAGTTCTTATTCCTTTCCACAATTTATATCAGTTTTTCGCTAGATTTACTCTATTTGGCTTCGTTTTTGTCAGTAATCGTTTTTCCAGGTACTAATCCTCTCGATTTTTGCTCTCGTTGCAGAGTATTAACAACAGTTTTCCTGTACTACCATTTTTTGTATTACACCTGAGACTTCCTGACAGACCCGTTGGCTTTAAGGTTGTCTTGTAGTTCAAAACAGTTACGGAATCACAGATAGTATAGTATTTTTCTCTACTACATTAAAAAAACTAAAAAAAACAAAAATTCAAAGGTTCAGGGTGCACTGCATATTCATGGTCTACACAGATCACACGCCTCTCACTTACCTGTTCAGTGCGGAAATAGACAAATATCATGTGAGGTTTGTCAAGTTGACTTAAATCAGTTTGCCGGTGATATAAAGCAATTAAGAGGGACAGAGAACTGTGTGGCTGATGTATTGTCCAGAATACTCGTGAATATTACTCGACAAACCACCATATATCTTAATGTACCGGCCGAAAATTCAAAGGATGACCGACAGTTAGAGGATTTTCTAACTGCAAATGACCCTAGTCTCAAACTGAAACAGTTACCATCTCATTGACGGCAGATTAGGATCGTCGTGATAACGGAGGACACCTAGGCCGATTGGCATGTGATCGAGTCAAGACATTCAGCGAAAATCACCCTCAATTTGAATGGTCTAACTGCTGCTACACTGTTCTCGGCTTCCTTGAAACCATAAGTGGAAGCATTGTACCAAAAGCCTGCTGTGTGGAAGCTCTTTGACACTTGGAACATAAAAGGATGTCAGGCGAAGTCAATCTGTAATCAAGTTGAATGTTCGTCTTGTGGTGACACTCCACTTATAAATATCGGTCCGTTTGAAAAACTTAAACTGGAAGCGTTTTACTTCAGATTGATTGTAGGTGACATATAGAATAAGCTATGCGGTTTATATAAGAGAAAGCGTCCGGAATAGTAAACTCCTAACACTTGGCTTCAACACATGCAAAGAAGAGGAACACGCCTAATTGTTATTGTGAATACTGGTTAATAAACAATGTCAGTGTGGTTGAAGACTGAACATTCAATTCATCGCTGTTTGCTCAAACCCAACTATTCCATGTTTTTCGCGGGAGCCATCCATCTATCAGTCTTCGTCTCATCAATCGCTATTCAGTGGAAGATCGAAAATTATAGGAAGTATTAACGTGGTTAATTGTGTATAAAAACTAATAGTTGGCTGTAGGTTGGCGTAAGGATAAAGGAATATCGAGTCACCAATCAGCGTTCTGGTTTTCGCGTTGGTTAATGCAAAGTGTTTCTGAAAGTCTTCGAGGGACAGTGTGAGGTTCGGGGTAGCAAGAGCCGGACATTGACAGTTTATGAGACTTGACAGACAGTTTCTTATAGTGTTTGGATAGTTTCCGTTCATCTTTCCTGGTGCCTGCAAGTCTTTTTTGAACAAGCGTTATCTGGAACATTTCTGAAATTTTGGTCAAGTGCAATGACGCCTGGGTCGAAGAAGGGATGAAGCGTCTTGGAAGCAAGCAGGAAAGTAAGTAATGCTTAGGTGCTGCGTGTTAATTGTAATGATATGTATGATGCTCAGCATGATGAGTCTGTTGTTCATGGTTCGCCATTTAGGGATAGTAAGGGTTTAAAGTTACCTAAATTCGACCTCGGTACTGTTATAACTGCACTGAATTAAGGTAAACCCCGTCGCCAATTTGTTATAACTGTAGGGAATTGAATGAAGACGTTTTCACCTTGCTCTGTCTGCGCCTGAACTAATCTGCCTATCTGCTTGTCGTACCTTCCGATTTAGTAAAGCACGCAAATATCAAAAGACAAAGGCTGGACTGTGACTGTGTATTGAAGTGCAACAACGACAAAGAAAGCCATGGTATTTATACATTTTACAACAATATGGACAGCTAACAGCATTTGAAATAATTTATCTTAATAGCCAATAACAAAGTGCGTGAGAGATGATAATATACCATATGTGCGAGATTGACAGTCAATAACAAAATGTGTGGGAATGATAATATACCATATATACAAGATTAACAGTCACTACCAAAATGTGTGAGAATGATAATATACCATATATGCAAGATTAAACAGTCAATACCAAAATATGTGGGATCCTATCACCTTCCCCGTAAAGAGTGTAGGACTTGCTTTTTGGATCTATTTGAAAAGGTTTCGGAGCTCTTCTTTGTCGAGTTGACCTTTGCGTGGTACTGGATAGAGCGTGATCTGTGTGTCTGACACATAACTGTCCTTTTTCATTCGTACGATAATGCAGCAAGAATTTATCCAAAATTTCTTCTGTTGTTCCCTCCCCCTTCGCTTTTGCATAAGCACGCTTAAAGGTGTCGACGAAACGTTCAGTCTGTCCATTCGATTGGGGATGATACGGGGGGCTACGAATATGCTGGATGCCAAACAGTTTGCAGCAACCAAGTTTGTCCTGGAAGACAGAAGCGTGCTTTTGACGACGGCGTTGCAAGAGAGATTGATCAGATACATCTCCGGGAACAACGTTGTGTGGTGAAGACGAAACATTAGAGCATACTGAATTTAATGGTACATTAAAGATATGGAGCTTGTCTAACCAGTCAAGACCAAGCAAATCCAAATCATGGTAGTTTGTAACGTAACATACACCATTGAAGTGATGCTCACCAAACTGAACCTGGCAATTTATCTCACCCACGAGTTTCAGTATATCTCCAGAGACATTCTTGGCGACATGCTCGGTCGGCAGAATCTGTGGGCAACCAAGTTTGCGCCACGTAGTTCGGGAAATTACGGTGATATCTGATGCCGTATCCAACTGAAGACGAATACGTTTGCCGTTAATATCTAGTGTTATGTACTTACGTTTGCTGGCGAACTCGACTTTGGAAGTTGAAAACGGTCTGTACTCGAGGAGATTGTTTCGGCTTGAAACGACTACTTCTGTTCCTCACCGAAGAATTTTTCTGCGGTGTACAGTAACCCTCCTTATGTCCAAAACGGTGACAATTACGGCATTTATGCTTCTTGAAAGGACAGAACTTGACAAAATGCCACGAACCACAGTGCCAGCACACTGAAGGAGGTTTAGCTGAATTTTGAGACTGACGTTCTGTGTGCTTAACGGTGATCGGAGGACTTTTCACTGTGTTAATCGAACCAAATTCAGACGACTGTCGTTTGCACTCCACCATAGCAGTATCGTGCTTCAAGTTGATTAAACGTAGGCATTCTGCTGTCACCATTTGTAAAGTCATTTTCGGGTCTTGTTCCACAAGTGACAGAAGTCGAGTTCGTATGTCAGTATCTTCTGGGTTCTTCAACCCACAAATAAAAATCAAACACTTGAACTGATCTGATGTCATTTCGTGTGGTTTGAACCTTTCACATTCCTTGTTCACTTTGCCAGCGTAAGTCACATAATCATCGGAAGGCATTTTTGTCAACTGAAAACATTGATACCGAATATTAAACATGGATGACTGTTCACCAAAGATTTGTGATAAAACGGTGACTGTCTCATCGAATGATAACTCACGTGGGTTCTTAGGCAGAATGAAGTTAACATATCTGTTGTGCTCAACAGTACCAAGTTTTCTTAGTAACAATCGGACTTTGGCAGCATCATCAAACATGTAGCATTCAATACGGAAAACGTCTTCGTAACGATTGAACCATGCATCAAATACGAGACCAGATATTGGGTCGTAGTTGAACTCACTGATGGAATTTGAGATGCTTTCATATTTGTCAGAATGAGATGTTGAT